GATCAGGCGGCCGTATGGGCCGTGGGGCGGCGGTGGAGAAGATCACGACAGGCGACATCCGGTTGGCTGGGCAGATTTCCTGGTGCCAGCAGTGGCGGTCCCGCCGAGCGACACATCGGATAACGGACCGCCGGTCCACGCATGCCGGTGAGACTCGACCATCGAACAGATGTGGCTCCTCCTGCACATGCAAATTTTCAGCTCTTTACTGTATGCTCTTCTGTGTGATTCTTGTCCCTTGTGTGTTTTTCTCTGAAGATGAATGTGAATTCTTTTTCTTTTTCTGATGTGTCATGGTTTCCAAACGACGATGGGGAAGAGTGAATGCTTGCGCTTCTTTATTGGAATGTATGACACTGCATTAGCCTTTTCCAGGTCACGTAAGTAAAGGCCCTTGTTGGAGTTAGCTCCAAGAACACGATTTATCTTTGAGAGTGTTTTGGAAGAAAATGAATCGGCATGTACAATGAGAGAAGAAGTGGTCAGCAGTAGGAGATCTGTCATTACCGTGAGGTTATTATGCTTGGAGTCGGGCATAGAGGCAGCAAGGTTTTCCTGCGTGGTGAGATTTGGAGCGATCTACTTCATCGACAGTTGCATGTTTTCCACGTCAGAGAACACTCCAAGACTTTCTCCTATTTCACGTAGAGACAAGGTTTAATGTCGAAATGAATATGAAGCAATATAGAAACTATATGATTGAGTGAATTTGTTACTCATGAGTGTCTTAAGTTATTTCTATGACTGTTAAGGATAATTAGCTAAATTACTTTATCCATTAAAAGAAAGGCTTTGTTCTCTCGAACTCCTTACATCAGTCGTGAACGAGTAGTCAATTATGAACCTTTGTCTCGAAGAGGACTGGAATCAAGTACACTGAGATTGTATAGTTTCAACTTTCACTAATCACCATAAATCAGATTTGTTGCCATGTGCGAATGGAAGAAAGAGACCACTAAAAAGTCAGATTTCGAAGTATACGGTGTACTGTACTGTCATGTCATAACATGATATGCTATGATATATCTACGAATTTTCATGGTAATACAACCAAAATTGTGCAGAAATCATAACAGATTCCGATGCATATGACCAAGGTAGATGGAACTTATTCGATGTTGCTTTCTGGTAAATCACGTTCTGTGCTTTTGAGATCTTTCGCAATACAACTTAGTCCATGTTTCGAAGAAGAACGAAAACGTGTAGAACATGAAACATGTCAAGAAACTAGTAACGATCATGTGTTTACTTTTAGAATGAGAAAATTAATAAAATACATACATATATAGTATTCTATGTAACGTCTGACTCCCTTTGCTGATGGAATTATGAGGATACGTTAAGAGATAAGGATTATTTCATCCCATGCTGTAGACTTGTATTTTGCCAAATCTGGTATTGATCATATAAATATTTTTTTTTATATAAATTAGCGTCGATTATATTCTAAATTTAATCAAAAAAATCATAAACATTAAATAGTCAATAAAAATTACTGTTTTTTTCTTAACTAAATCTACAGGTTGGAAAGTTTTCTTCTTGTGTATGTCAGTCAAGATCAATGCACTGATTATTCATTAAAGATTCTTATGTTCATGATTTTTTTTTAAATATAATCTGCCCAATCCACTGCCACGCTAGATGCACCTTTTGCTTACCATTTATTACTTCCATATCATCTCATTTACAAGTTAGCATGGTTATTTTTCCTTATGTAGAAGATCTCTTGTATACATTAAACATTGAGCACATGTGTCACATAAGGAGATGACATTCAATGTACGTATGAAATTATATATGCAGGAGATTTCTTTGCTAAGCACATAAGCTGAAAGTAGAATTCATCCATGTGACAATTTTACTTTGGCTCAATATTAACAACCATATTTCTTGATAGATGCCGATAAATATGGAAAGGTAAAAAAAAATTCCTTCACCTCTGTTCTATATCTCCTTTTCTGAGCAAGTTTCCTCCTTTTTTTAGCCTTCAAATCCACCCATGTATAAAACCAAACATTCAAAGTTATTTGTGATTATGATTTAAACCATCACTTTTGCCCATCACTTTCCAGTGGATATTGTCACCGTTATCCTCAAACATCAGTCGTGAATGATATTTGAGCATGTTTGAGATTTATTTAGCTGGTTGCATCAGTTGTGACATGGGTATTACGTTGTCAACTGATTAGATGCTTGATGCTAGTTATTTTTTCTGAGAAAAGATACTAAAGGTATCATAGCGATGACTATCTTTGAGGTTTTATTAAGTCTTGTTTGTCATATCTTGTGTTATCAATCTGATTTCCTGCACTTTTTTTTGCGTACCAAACCAGAATAGTCATATGAAATGATTACAATACATAGTTTTATATCGTTATCGTTTTGTTTTGCGTAAACATGTTGATAGCAATTTTAATAATATTTTTGGCGCATCTAGCTTGAAAAATTTGAAGAGAATACTACTTTTTGATCAGAATTTTTTTTTGTATGACCGATCAGAAAAGATGATTATTATCCTACCTGCGGCCACTAGTCTCAAATGAAATTTTTTCAAAGAATGTACTTATTAGGCTTAACCCGTTTTTTTGCATAATTGTCTTGCATGGTTTCTGATGTAGTATGTGTTATTTCTAAAGAATAACGTACAACTTGTGGCCTTGAAGATAAATATATACATGATTTTGAATACTTCAATATCAAGCTTTATTGCGTATGATTGAGAATGAATGTGTCAAAAAATACGACATGAAACTTTCAGGTTCTAATTTTCATTTTTAGTTTTATGAAGAATGCATGACATGTATAAACGTATTAATAATTCTTGATTGAAGATAATATGCACTTCGATTTTACACTTGCCGAGCATGTTTGAAAATCATCTTTATCTAATCAGAAACCTGTATGCGATATTACATATAACATTTCAAACTGCTTATTTATCCACACTTCTCATTTGAACGTTTATCACTTCATTTTGCTATATATTCATAGTAGGCTTCACGAGTTCTTATTTGAGATTATGGAAATCTATTTATGCAGTTGTTTTGAGACCATGGCAAAAATTTGGCATTGAAATTTTTTTCAAGCTTAAAATTTATACTAAAGAGTATTCATAAAGCATGTAGTCTAGCTGAAATATACTTGCACTTTGATTATCTTTTCATGGTGTGATAGATGCTTCTAACTTACGATTACATCAAAGAAATGTTTCATGTATGTAAATTCTAAATAAATGTTATGTAATTTATTTAAATCCGACTGGCATCCGAGATTTTTTGACCTGCACCTAGTATCTATAATGATAAACTTTCATATAAAAAAGTATAATCATTTATATAATCCATTGCAATTTGATTGGAGCAGGAAATCGTACAAAATCAAAATACAACCGTATATGATGTTTGTTTTGACATGAGTGTGTATAATAATTACTTTTAAGTTTTTGAAAGATTAGAAATATATATATTTTTTTCGATAAAATTATGTTATTGTTGATTTCTTGAGGATTATCAAGTTTTTTTAAAAAAAAAAGTGAGTCAAAATTTCAATAACGATGATTATACATCTAAGGCAAATAAGAATCAGTTATAAGTGTTAAAAATGTCCAAGTTTATGATATCCTGAGTTATCTCTTTGATACTCTAAACATGAAACTATGAAGACATCCTTGTGACATTCTTAAATTTATTTCGTAATATCTTAGAGTTGTTTATATTAACCAAAACATCATTAAATTTTTTTTTATTCAAAGGCTCATGTAATTTGTAAACTTTTTATCTAGATTATTGAGATATGTTAGTTGAAATTCATCTATTCGATCGTTGCAATGCTATTCGGATCTAGTCCAAAATTGGAGGTTTGGTTTCATAAAAGTGAGATTTGCTGGGATCTTTCAACCTTTTTGTTATTCTACTTTGTTACCTTTGCTTGTGCATAATGGTAAAACTCACACGCAGACCAAAACAATGGCAACCAACGTACACAGGATGACGAAGTCCACGTGGCAATGATCATAGTCGAATCATCGGAATAGATCACGACATATTCTTCGCCTTGAATGTGCCAAGTGTCCAACCGGTACTTGCAGCGCTGCAAATCATTATCACCTCGTGACAAGAGATTTCTCCAGTTCTGCTTCCCAGAGTGAAGGTTGAGACGAGAGAAAATATTAAGAAAGTTCATCTGAAGATCTGATGCAGACTGTAATGATCCCCCATGACAGTATCGCAATTCAGATTGAACAGCAAGGCTCCACTGAAGACTGCCCCATGCAAGTTGAAGATAATTGACGAGGAGTATAATATAAAATAAAACAAAACAAAATAAAGTAAAGAAGGACATTCGATTGTATGTTCAATGCGCTAATATGCTTTAGCGTAAATGATTAAAACTTATGATGTATGAAAGGACGTTATCAAAGATCAAATCTTAAAAATTATTATTTTTTGCATATTTTAATAAGTATTTGACGGGCAAATGGTAAAAGCGGGGGAAAAAGTTATGAAACAAAGTTCCGAAGAAGAGAAGCGAGCGCGGGATTATCCGAAGGAAGAGGGAGAGAGGGATGACCGGCAGCAGCAGGTCAGGCCGGTCAGAGGAGGCAGCTCCAAAATAAGCTAGAGATTCGGACTACAGAGGAGGGAGGCCAGGCCTAAAATTGGAGGCGACGGCAGCGCGGGCCTGAGGCTGACACAAATCTGCGCTTTAGCGAGTGGCCAGAAGGTCGTGAGGCCGGCCGCGCCCGCCCCAGATTCTGCAGCCCATGCCCCTCCCCCACCTCTGGGACCTTTGACCCCGCTCCGCGTCCGCCCGTCGGTCGGACAAGAAGACCTCCTGCTGGTCCCGAGCGGGCGGGGAAGTGAGGGGTATTAGCACTCGGTAAGAGGCTCGGAGGGAGGGAGGGAGGGAGGGAGGGAAGGCGGACGGGGGGCCCAGATAGCGGTTGTGGGGAAAGAAAGAAGGAAGGAAGGAAAGAAGGAAAGAAAGAACGACGGGGGGGACAGACAGATAGACCGACGACGACGACGACGGGGGGGACAGACGTGCCGATGGGCGCCAGGGGAAGATGAGGAAAGGTGAGGTGGCGTTTGTGTGAGCGAGGGTGGTCGACTTTTGTTTGTAGCAGTGTTGATAGGGGGGAGGATGTGACAGGCCGCGACGAGAGGGCGACGAGGAACGAGTCAGTCAGTTGGGATGGACTGAGAGAGAGAGAGAGAGAGAGGGGAGAGAGAGACAGTGAAAAGGGGGCCTTGAATTTGGCGTTGGCTTGTATTGCGGTAGGAGAGGAAGGTGCTGCTGCCGTCGTGGCCGGGTGCGTGTGAGTGAGAGCCCATCCTGCCGGGCGCGATGGAGCTTGGTGGAGCTGCTGCTGCTGATGCTGCTGCCGCTGACGAGAGCTGGGTGTCGAGGATTGCCGGCGGCCCGATTGGTCTTGGGCTTCGCAGGCTGGTGGTGGTTTAGTGGATTGGTCTCGGCTGGGGCGTCGAGGGGGGCTGCAGGAGGAGTGTCTGCAGGAGGTTCGAGGCTGCTCGAGTTGGATTCGAGTATGGCTCTACGGGCTTCGTTGGCCCGAACCGTGTCTGGCGTGCAATCTACGGGAGCGTTTCAGGATGTGGAGCATTGGATAAGCTCCGATACTTGCAGCTCCAGTTCCTGGAGCCCTCTTGGCAAGCAGAGGGGCAAGCTGAGTCGCTCTACTTCCAGGGTTCTCCGAGACTTGGCCTCCTCGCATGGTCGTCGAGAAAGACTGAATGGGCTGGTGTGTTTAATTCGCGGTGTGAATGGGGCCTCCCGCGAAGGTGCTGACAGTGAGAACGCTTCGAATTACAATCTGTCGACGAAATTGGATCCTCTGAAGAAGGTAGATTCTGCTCATTTAATCATTTTAGCTTGCTCATAATCTGCATGCCGGAGAACTTGCCGGTTGTTTTTTTTCTCTTCTTCTTTTCTTTCACCATATCTCCAGCGATGGATTTTCAACCATTTTCGGATTGGAAGATTTGGTCCATGGGTTTAGAGGTCGTTTTACGTTGGGTCGAGGATGTGGTCACAGGTCTCTCTTCTCCATGCATCCATTTGAAAACTTCTCTCTCGCTCAGTGGCTATGTCATGTCTCAATTACGCTGGAAAGAGAGCGTGATCGTTCTCTTGGAAAGGACTGAGTTCGATCTCATTGTGCCAACTTTGATGATGACAATCCTTGGCGTAACGCGCCGTGTCGTAGTCAAGAACTGAACTGATGTCGTTCACCTGCCAATGGTGCTCATCTTTTTGTTCGGATTAGCCGAGCAAAGAGATATTTGAGACCTCGACTGGCTGCGCTTCCCTGACAAGATGCAACCCGAGGAGATTATTTGATCAACAGGCAGTCATCAAAGAGTGAATTGTCCTGTTTCGAAGGGCCGTTTCTTCAGTGGAGGCTAATGAAGATGCCGCATGGTTTTGGCGGTCAATATCTGTACACGCAGTGGCCGATTGGCCGCTTGAAGATATTTTGGAAGAATTTTGTCGCCGTTGGATATCGGACGTCATCGGCTTTGCAGTTTGCTGGCTTGTGTTTGCGAGCTTGGTCCGTGCCTAACCTTCTGCTTGTCACGGTGTACGCAGAAGGATGTCTCCGTTCTGCTGAGCATCATCCAGGAGATCGAGCCTCTGGATATTAGTCTTATTAGCAAAGATGTCTCCCCGGACAGCACCGATGCCATGAAGAGGACCATCTCCGGCATGCTCGGACTCCTTCCATCAGATCAGTTCCAAGTGACTGTCGAGGCCCCTCGTGAACCTCTTGCCCGCTTACTGGTATCCTCCATGATGACAGGGTAAGTCACCTCTGGTCTTCCGTGATTCTGAGTATGGATTATCATTGTTCACGCTTGTTTCAAGTTTCTATTGGTTCTGGAGGCGATCTCTAAAGTTTGTTTCTTATCTTGTCGGCCTTCTCCCCTCTCTGCAGGTATACTCTACGCAACGGAGAGTATAGGCTCTGTTTGAAGAGGAGTCTGGAGCTTCCAGAGGAGAACACAGAGATAAGAGCCGAGCGGATGATGAGTGATGAGGAACGCATCATGGAGCTAGCGGGTTTCATGGGTTTAGATTTGGTCGATCCTCTATCTGAAGACAAGAACGCTCTCGAATCATCTGCAGATTTCGACTCAGAGACTGATTTTCTGTTTAGGCCTGAAGAAGTAGAATTGCCGGAAGAATTAGGTGCCGTGTCACCTGAAGTAGCGAGCTACATCCAATCCTTGCAAGCGAAACTTTCTGCAACTTCGAAGGTCAGTTTTTTTCGCTTGCAAACATCTTGACGAATGAGAATGGTTTAGCCATTCTTGAGCTTCTCCTCAGGGTTTTAACCAGCTTCAGACTAGAGTCTGATGATGACTGCGATGTGTGGAAGTTTACGCATAGTCTGAGTTACCATTCATACATACATTTAGTCAGAAGTTAAACCAGTAACTACGCATCATAATTAAAGTGAATCGACGATAGAGACATCCCCAAATTCTTGATAAAGCTACCGAGCTGTTCCATTGAATCTATGGTTTGATAGAAGTGCAGGAACTGGAGGATTGCAAGCATGCACTGACAACGATGGAGATGGAGAGCTTGGCCGGAGAGGAACACAACGATTTATTGGATTATCTTCGATCTTTGGAACCAGAGAAGGTGCGACTTTGAAATTGAAAGCTGAAAATGCCTCACCTACGTCTCTAAAGGTCCTATTCACAGGTTGATGACCCTGACCTTTGTCGACATATTATCGGTTGAACTGACATAGCTTCGTCTGCAGGTAGCGGAATTGTCACAACCGACTACGCCAGAAGTTGAGCAAGTGATTAATGGTGTTATTGACGGGCTGCTCTCCAACATGTGTATGGATCAAGCCTGCAACATTCCTCTATACGATGACGGCGATTCATGGGAAGACAAGATAACCTCCGATGCGATGGTCGATGTGCCACTGCAGTTCCAGTCGAATGTTACCACCTCCCGTGATTACTTGGCCCGACTTCTCTTCTGGTAAGTTCCTATTTTCCAACTTTCGTCTACCATAGCAGTCATTGATCCGTCATCTTATGTACATTGGACCCCATTTATATTTGTATGTACATCTATCTATCTTATTTACATGTTGTTGGGCGCTGAATGTAAATAGTAAGTAGAATTGTACACTCTTTCGTTCATATGAGCTAGAAGAAGAGTTGATGTCTGCCTGGAAGTCAAGCTCCTCTAGTGTAGTGTAAAAATGATCCTCGCAACGAAGGACGAGAAGATATTTCCATGGACTGATTTTGTGAGATGCGTGCGTCAGGTGTATGCTTCTGGGGCATTATATGCGTGCTGTGGAATATAGGCTGGAGCTTACCCGGACACTCAGCCTCTCAGGCGATATCAACATGGGGGTGGAAAGAAGCAGATGAGACTCAGACAACATCATCGTTTGTACACATTGAGTAATCTTACAAGTTGCCACGTTGTCTCTTGAAATCTTTGCGGAGCAAAGTTTTTCTCGATTTGGAGGCGACATGACTTGGCGTCGTTTATTACCACGTATTCACTGTTCTGTGCAGCCAGAGAGCAGTCGGTGATTAAAAAAATGCTGAAGACGGCATTTTTTTCTGTTAAGGGACTGTATCATAGTTGGAAGGAGAAAACTCGACCAGAACAGAGTATCTGTTTTTTCCCAATAGAGTGTCACTTTGAAAGAAGGTTGTCTTGTACATGAGATGTTGGTTAAGGAGACATTGATCAGGTAAGGTATGGTTAAGGTCAAGCATTTGATTTTGTAAGTACTGCAGTTCTGCAGTCACAATGTGTACATTTACTGGTCCCTACAAAGCTCCAGGCTTACTTAAAAGCTATTTTTTAGTGGGGCCCTTGATGTCCACAAGGGCCCTCAAAAACGATACATACTCGCTTGCCGTGGTTGCATTTAAATGGCTTGACGCACATTTATGTCTCAGATAAAGTGGAAGAATTTACACGGCAAAACGAACGTTTCTGTTTCAGATGAAGTGCAAACGGATGAAATCGACTGTTTTCAGTTGAAATATAAAATATAAAATATGGTGTTCTTCCAAGCCGATGGAATTGTCCACATCGTGTACTTTGCGATTTGAAAAGATTGTTTTAAATTGTAACAAAAGTTTCGCTCTACAGCAAAGAACAATCTCCTAATACTAACTATCGACGGTTACCCACTGCGTAGCATCAAGAAGATGAGACACTGATTTGCTAATTGCAATATCGTTTCAACGGAGAATCGTTAATATCTGCCACGAACTACTGAGTAGACGTTAAATTGTTAACAACCATCGTCTCCATTGCATCAAAGCATCCAATTGGTTAACATTTAACCAATTGGATGCTTAAATGCAAATCCAGACAAAAAAAGGAATGTGAATATACTGGTCAACACATTCACGAACTCCGTGGAGTAATTTGCTCCATCAAAACTTCAGTTGCCGCTAATGCTTTAGCTGCCGCGCCGTATGTTCCCTGGTATCTGCACCAAGGAAAATGAGGAGGCGACTGAGCAAGAAAAATGGAAAGACGAATTGACGAAGCATCGGAAGGTTTGACTTTAAATAATCTGTTCTCTTTACACGCTACAGAAGTCCCTGCTAAAACCTCAGATGCAAGCTTTCAAACAGAAGACTATCAATACCAAAATTGCGTGATGAAACACATACTTGGAGATAACAAGATAGGCCGGAGTTCGTCCTATTATGGCCCCTCCCCATGGCAGTGTTGGTGCATCTTCTCGTCGTGCACAATACATGTTCTCATAAGTAGCTGTTACGAAGTCTGCACATTATGAAGCTTTCAATCTGAGGCTGCCTTCTAGATCCTCCAACACGATAGTCAATTGAATATCAGCAGGAAAACTAAATAAATGTCCTTACAAATTTCAATGCAGAGGTAATTAACGGAAAACGAGAAAGAGGTACTGAGAAACTGAGCGGACCACCCTACACTTGCAAGAGTCCAAGACGATGCATTCGTTTTGCAAATTGTAATCTCGGACGCCGGCAATAATTGGTCGCACATCAGCAGATTTCAACTCCATACCTTCCTGCTCCAGCCTGTGCAGCCTCCAGACGCAAGAGTGATTTCCTCCCTACATCTAATAAACCAACAGTACGCACTTGACTACAAATGCTCACTCTGCGTCTACGACTAAGCTGAACTACAAGACCACCATCCCCAGAAAGTTGAAAGAACAGATTGTATGGTCCAGCACTTGACAAAAAGGTGCATGGTCAACAAAGAGCAACAAGAGCAGGAACATTTTACAAAGCACACACCTTTCACTTTTCATGAAGCATGGACACCGAGACTTTCACGAGATGCGATTCAAGAGCAGAATTGCCTAACATTTCCTAGGGCGAAATTGCGGCATTACACGTTTTTCTGGACTCTTGAAGTAGAGGTCTTACACAAGCCCGGGGAACCTAATTGGTCGATCAGAGGCCAAGTTTACAACTGCAGCCCCACACAAAGCTTTACCTCCTGCGCGGGAAACCACATCAACTTGTAGAAACTTGAAGATATAAATTTAGATTGCTCGCTTCAAGCATCTATCTCTCAGCGAGGAATCAAGACCCGAAGCAATTCACCTTCAAGCCAACCTCATCCAAAGGAGGGAGATTGAGAGATAACATACCATCAGGGGCGACGTAAACGGAAGACCATTTGTCCCATAACCGGTGCAACATTGCCCTTTCTCCCATCCTTCTTACTCTCAGAGAAATCAAAAGGTTTTCCCCGCTTCTAGAGACGATTCCGCTAATCCTTCTAGTTTCTCCCCAGGCGAATTCGGCTACGATCCAATCCGACTGAGAGAATCTTCTTCATGATTCAAATTGCACTTTTTCCCGTCCGCCTGCTCCTCAAGCTCAAGATCACACCATTCTGACACCCGTACCGCCGTGCATCAAAACCTGCAATGAATTCGACGAAGCGCTCAGAATCGACGACCACTCAATCTGCATGATCGATGGCACTGCGTCAGCTCGCTGCATTTCTGTGCTCTCTCTCGTCGTCCGGAGGCCCAGCTCTTCTTCACTGTCTCAGTCCTGGAAAGGAAAAACGCGCAACCACGTCGACAAATGTACACAACAAACGCCGACGCAGTCATGAACAATCCCAACCTGGTTTCTAAACTGAGAGATCTTAATTGCCTGGATGGCACACTGTGGGAGAGTTGTAGGAGTGTAAAAGGTAGGCAAGGCGGTCACAAGTTTTACCACTTTGCTACTTGATACTTTGATTGTGATTCTACCATTCTATTAGTTTATCAATTTCGGTCATAAACTATGGAGATTTGAGAGAGATGTAATACTGGACGGTGAAACTTTCTCATGTGATTCTTTGTTGGATTGCCCCAAAGCTTACGTGTTTTCTTATTACTAGAGCAAACCTTCCCAGGGAGTGAGTCATCATTGTTCTAACTTTTGTCTATAATATTCACAACTGAATCTTTTCTATTCTATCGTCGAACTATTTGGTGTTATACGATGATACAAGCATTTTTTTGCCATTTAGATTATAAATTTTAAAATAGTATCACATTATTAAATGGCTCAAACTAGTTGACGTATTTTTATTCTATTTCTATTCCATTCATAAATTATTTATTTATATATATATATATTTTTATATTTTCATCATCACAGGTTTTTACTAGAAAGAACCATAGTTCATACAATGATTGATTGTGTGCTGAATTCTGTAGGCCATGATACACATATTGTGGATCTTGCTACCCTCATTAAACATCAAAACTACTGCTTGATTGTGGAGCTTCATCTGGAGAGAGTGTAATGTCAAATCTTGGCAATCTTAAATAATTATTTGGTTTTGATTAAATATTTCACTTTTCATGTATTCATTGTTTATATGTGATTTTACTCTAAGATGAAATCTCTATGTATTTCATACTTCTCTCTTTTATATGCGGTTATTTTTTCCCTTGATACGATTACATAAAGTATTATGTACATGTTTGATGACATCATCAAATCAAGTTATTTCAAATAAGTAATTTGAAATACAAAGATATCATAGAATCTTGTATATGTGTGGAGTCATAGATTAATTTTTTGTACAGGATGTTACACATGTATTGTAGTTTTAGCCCAAAAATTTGTATGTTAAATTAGATTGGATCAATATATTATTAATCAACTTCAACAATATTTGATTGAGATTTTTACGAATGGCATTCTATTGCGATTGATAAACCATGGTGAAATATCAAATGATTACTTTCTCTTTGAAATATCTTCTAAACTGATCAGAGTTAACTTCTTGCTATTATTTGTGGGTAGAAGTCTCACATTGTGACCAGTCTTGTCTCAACTTAGATTTTTAATCTTCAAAAAATTGAAAAGTTATCAAACTTTTGCATGAAATATAAATCTATACAAATATTGAGAATTCATCAACAAACTATACATACTATCAATTTCCGGAGATTGATATTTAAAAGAGTTTTCCCACATGTCATTATCTGAATACTCAATTTTTTTTATAAAATATCAATTCTATTACCAATAGGTTTTTGATAGTGTTTCTTTTAACACAATGCTCATAAACCTCTAAGTGAACTTTAGCCAAATCAAGTAACAAGTTTTCACTGCCAAAGAGTGTCACAAACCTCAAAAGTCTCATATTACAATTTCATATACAGTATGCCATGCTTCAAGATTTTAAAAACTTGAATTTATCACAAATAATAATATCTTTTAGAATTTTTTTTCCTGTCTTTTCTCTTACAAATATTATCAACTATATATATATATATTTATTTTAAGTTTTCACTAAATCTCCTTTGATTCTAACATTGATCAAAGATGAGATACTTTATTGATATCACGTATATACATGACATGAATTGATGTACATTTGATTTCATAAAATTTTTAAATATCAACAAATTTAAGTAAAAAATCATTCATTGTCATAAAATTGATCAATTTTAATGAAAAATTGATTCTTTAATAGTAAAAAATAAAATTCCTTTCTAGTGTAAGAAATATGACAAGAATAAAAAAAATTAAATTTATTCACCATCCAAATTGTTTGATGGATTGCATCAATCATACTTCCAAAAACATATCAAAATTTTGTTACCCTTGTTGTACTCATAATAAGACAAAAGATTGATATATCATGTGATATATTTATATGATAAGATAACAAATTTTTTGTGTAAGTGATGAAATGCAACAAGATCAAGAATGATAAATTTTTTTGAACAACAATGAATAAATTGGTTATGTTGACATGACATTTGTAATTGAGTGTGCATTAGCTCATCATAACATGGATTGCAAACTATTACTCTCTTTATCATATTCTTATATCTATAAGCAACGTGTCTATAGTGCTCTACATATACCACTGGATAACCCTAATTATTGGAGATAAATCAAGTCAACTGATGATTCTCTGGTGCTAAACTGATATATAGAACGTAGAAGGTAGAGAATATCAATAAACTGTGCATTAGCAAGTATATTCTGTTACTGGCCCTATATTACACTCGTCGTTTCATCTACTGCTTGGAATGGAATCTTACCATCACATATGCTACATCACATGGTCCGGGATTCCTTGCAATCATTATGTTTACAATGAAGTCTTTTACATTCTGATCTCCCTTACGAGCTCAAAAAAGCATCATCTTATAGGGCAAGCTGGTTCGAGTCTATTTACATAGTGGTCTTTGGCATATTCACAAGCGACTGAGGCCGCTGCCTTCCACAAGTTAGAATGATGTGCCTCTCTCTTCATGAATATTTGCTGGTGTCAAACCAGTCTATCTCCACCAAGAAAGATGCTATATATGTGAAACCACCCGTTTTAAGACTGGAAAATAAATCAGTAGTAAATGGGTAGCATTAAGTTATCCCATCGATTGGTAGAAATATAGCTTCAATGGATGATCTCCTGCTAATCTCCCGACTTGCAATCTGCATGCCTGAGACATCAATCAGTTGGAGACAGTGACTTAGCAGAAGAGATTAGCAGTCTACTTTTAATTTGGATTACGGGTGGGTTTGCTTGGCTTGCGCTATGTATCTCGGTAGATGTGGTTGCATCTCTCCCTTCCACTCCAGAAACAAAGAAATAGATTGCACGTTTTGAGAAACTGATTAAAGGCATCCTGATGACTCCTCGTGAAGAATGCAAACCATTTAGAAATCTGAGCAGGACCTGAAGAAATCCTGCTCTGCTCTGCTCTGCCCTGCCCTGCCCTCCTACGTGACATTCAACGAAATGAACTCCACTCTTGAGATGTTCTTCCGATCCAAATCTCAGCTTCCCCCCAAATTTCACTCGATGTTATTCGGAGCTTTCCACAACTGGCTCGCTCGCTCGCTCTCTTCCCCGGATAGTGAGCTCACATTGCATCCGCAGTCTCTTATTGCACAAGGAGGGGCTGCTCGGCGTCATGGCTGGTGGTCTCTCTGCATCTGGAACGGATCCTCGCGTTTCAGTTTCAGTTGCAGCTGCAGCCGAAGAATCAAAAAACGGTCAGAAGCAAGAGCCCCAGACGATGCCCTCTAGAATTAGAATTCAAGTTCTCGTAGAAAGGCTCTGGCAGGGGATCCGGTGGAGTGGATGGGCTCGAGAATTCGAAATCTCGGTGATCAGCGAGTGCTGTGGAGCTTCCATCAGCAACGGCAACAGATTCAGATTTGGCAGATTCTGATCCTGGTACAAATCCTCGTCGGGTGAAATGTCGAGCGGGTTATTCTGAAGCTCGTGACAGTTTCGTGCTTTCCGTCCAGAATTCCGTAGTCACTAGTTGTAGCTTCATCGTCCTTGCGCTCAGCATCTCGCAGCAGGTGCACGCACTGACAGAGGAACGAAACGAACAGGGCGAGGCGATACAAGACTCGACAGGAGTTGCAAATCAGACAGAGTCGTGTTAGGATCCAGCACATTGATGCGACAGATATATGGGGAATTGTAAGCTCGCCGACAAGCTCAATTGGGAGTATTTGGAAGAGCTGAAGGTGTCGATATGGAGAACTATCGGAAGAATGACAAACATGGGAGCTTACCCCATCACCAAGTCGGACAGCGTGAGCTGCTGCGTCAGGCAACCGCCTCTGACGAGACGGCGCTCGTCGAGAAACAAGAGCACTCCGGCGGCAGATCACCATCAAAAGTACAACATTTGTTTCTGTCTTCTGGAATCGCGAGATTTTCCCAGACTCGGCTCCGAGTCCACACCAACAAACCGGGCCATCTCCCGCACCTCCTTCACTGCACTGCCGGACCGATTTCTCGTCGGCGTCATGGCTACTGTCAGCTCCACTTGCTCGTCTCCTGCCGATCTCATCCGACCCATGCTCGCGTGCAAGAAGTTGTGGTCGGTAGGACGAAGTGCGAGAGTTCTGGTGAGCGCCGCGTCTCCAGCTCTGGACGTCGCAGCAGCCAAGTGGTCGCCAGGAGCGCACTGCTTTCTGAAGCGGTGCGCGGATGCGGGGAACACAGAAGCTTGCTACATTTTAGGCATGATTTACTTCTACAGCCTAGGATTGAGGAAGTGGGGAGTCGCGTTAATGGCCAAGGCAGCAATGCAGGCCCATGCTGCAGCTCTGCAGTCGCTGGCCATAATCCAGTTCAATGGCAGCGGAGGAAGACGCAGGAACAAGGACCTCTCATCTGCAATCACTCTGTGCGCTGCTGGAGCAAGTCTGGGCTACGTGGATGCGATGTGGGAGCTCGGTCACTGCTTGCTCACGGGTTACGGTGCTCTGACGAATGTGTCGCTGGGCACATCCATCATCTGGAAAGCTAATGAGATCGAGAGAGCAGCTTCAGCTTCTTCACCTGTCGGCAAGGTTGGCGTTCATACGGTCAATAGGTTTCTGGTCGACTGGTTCCACTCGTTTCCACCCAGATCAGGGCTTCAATTGTGTTCTCACTCGAGCTGTGGACGACCGGAGACGAGAAAGTACGAGTTCAAGCGATGCTCTGCTTGTGATTCGGTGCAATATTGTTCCAAGGCGTGTCAGAACTGGGACTGGAAGTTCAGACACAAGGATGAATGCGTGACCAAGATCATGAAGGATCTGAGGCAGATGAGTCTTCAGCGTGTGTAAGCGGCAGCAGAGAACAGATTCTCAATGTGCAAGTGCCTCGAACGTCGTCCCGGGCACCGGGAAAAACATCTCGACGTAGATTAGAGAGAGAGAGCCTTTTTGTGAAAGAAATGTTTCCTAGATAATTAAGAAAGTTCTTCGCTGAATCCAGCAGTCTTCACTCATAACATCTGGTTCTCAAGTTTGGTTTTGGATTCATCTGCTCGTTCGGTTTGTGCTCAACAATACCCGAGTTTGTCCGATTCATATATTCAATGCAATCTCCAGCACAGGTTTTTTCCTTCCGGTTCGTTTTGAGGAGCAGGTGTTACTTGAAAACTCCAGTTACCGAAGTGTTTTCAGTTATAGATCACAGTAAAAAAATTAATGAAGGCCGAGTGAACGGATTTCAAAGTGGTTAGGGAACCAATCAATATAGCACCACTCCCAAATGAACAAAGTGGAAGGCCACGGACAGAAGCTACGAGAAGTTTATGTCTTGGTCGTCTAGGCTTTAACAAGCTATAGAAACCGGGACCTGCCGTCTGTGGTTATTGCGACAGAAAGAAAGCGCAGAGTTACTCTGAGAAGCACTAGATTACCAACTAGTTATGATTTGTATTGGTTTATGTTTGAGTTCTATGATCTTTCTGAGATGACTTGCAGATGGTAATATCTGCCAGAAAAAGTCATACTTTCGGTGTGAACCAAGAATAGGCGTCAGATTTGTAAATGGATGGCGCTTTTAGTATGATGTGAAGAGATTGGTTTCTGGTTGATTTTCCGCCCGACTGTTCTTATAACACGCTTCTCCAGGTACCTATGTAATGAGTAGATTGCAGAAAGATTGACGGTTTCTCCGTATCTTCACATCTTATAATAACAAACTATTGCTGCCATGTTTTTCACTGACGTGTTTCAACTCATCATCCATGTATCTAAAACTTCAAAAGAAGACACGATTCCCGAAGAGAGCATTGATTCAAAATAGTCACTTATAGCTGAGGATAGCTGTGGACAGTGTATAACACGGATTTATAGGTATAGAATTCATAGTGATTCCAAATATCCATCAGAGTAGCTGGAGCCCCAGAAGGCTGTGTAAGAAAACCATGAAAAGGTTAAGATTGGTTACAGTTCTGAAGACTTATTCTTCAGTATAATGTCGGAGCTGTACCGAGTGCTAGCTGCAGATCTAAAGAAAAAAATTATTTAAGTTTCGTCACTCTAGTAAGGTACCAGGTACGTTTCTTGAAGAGCCAGCATCACCTACAAACATAGTCATGTGCAGCAGCTACCGCCACTCCAATGCGAGGAAGTGCAGTCGACATGATAGGAGGGACTCTTTGCTGGTGGGTGTACGTATGAGAAAGTTCAAGCATTACTTTTCGAGTCTGGTGAGCACGAATAAGTGCTATTACCATCACAGCGGCCTGCGCACGACTGTGGGCATTCGCAGGAAACGATCTGAGGAAGAGGAAGTACGGGAATCAAATCGCTGAAGTCGATGGCACAGAAGGATCCTCGACCGCTATCATCCTGACTGCATTTGTTCGGAACGATGGTCCCGTTGTTCAGAAGCTGAAGAGCTGCCAGCAAAGTCTTGTTGACGAAGTCACTGCCTGAAAGGAAGGCAATCCGGCGGATGAGCTGCTGGATGTTCACTTCTGGACAGTTGCAAGCCTTCCCATCGGGACAAGGACAAGCTAGCGTCAGTTGTCCATCGCAAGCTGGCAACTGCCACAACAAAACCACCATCGCAGCAATGGACCCGAGCACAAACGCCGATACTCCTGCAGCTCCTTGTCTAGTCCTGACCATTTTGATGTGGATCGTTCCCATGCACGTCACAGCCACAAACATTAGTGCACTGGGACGTTGATCTCATTAAATGCGGAGAGAGGAGCGAATCCCTCGACCGATTACGGTCGATAACTGAATCACACAGACTCCGAGTCTTCAGTCTCGGGCTGAACATGTAGCCAGTCACAGTGCTGTACAGTAGGATCCACCATCATTGCGCAAAGCTGGATCAGTGTACTGATCCAGCACGGTAGTTTTCATACTTCTGTAAAGGTCAAATTCCTTACTGGACAGTAGAGCAGGCAAAAGTTCGATCTGATTAACGATCTGGAAGCCATCGTACTCGTTCCGCATGTTTGCAAGCGTACGAACGAACAGGAAGTGGAAGGAAGGAAGACGAGACCAGCCGCCTCTTCCCACACGTTATCAGCGCATCGTCGCCAGCTAATCCGCTCAAATTATTTTTGCTTGATCGACGGCACAAAACGTGGAAAGTAACTATACAGCGAATCAATGGATGTAAATCTTGAGGTTCGAGTATTCCCTCGACTGGATCTCTTGGAAATTATTTGCTAGTACTCGCAGGGATGTCTTCCTTTACTCTCCCTGCCTTGTGATTCCAGATAACATTTCGGTCCAGACATCGAGGTACTCTTCTCTTAACGTCAACCAGCAAGGGAAAAAGTACAATACAGAGTATCGTACTTGCTTGTTGGATCTACATTCAGTTGAAGTTGTCCTTGTGAGTTCGAGCTTCTTTAATAATTTATCACCGACAATTTTCTCTTGTAGCTAAAATTATGCTGTTGTTGTCAGGAGGAGAGTGTGACGTTACGGATCAGATATATTGAAATAAATATTTATGAAGTGTTTAGGTCTTGTAAATTACAATCACCAGATATTTACAGTATATTATCAATAATTCTTTTCTAGTCTAAAAATTTTATAAAACAAATCTGCATGTGTTAAGATCAATTCTGCTACTCTCAGGAATTAAGTCGAAGTAGTCAGAAGGATACCCTGACACCACCTACTGCTTGGATACCTCTTCATCGGTCTGACCACTAGATGTACGGCGAAATTGGCGCAATTTGTATGTTTGTGATAACACAAGCAATCGAGAAATTATCCAAGGGAGAGATCCTTTGTAACTCATAGTCCTGGGCTCAGGCAGCTCCTTGGCAATGGGGACTGAGGATCTTTACAAGTTTCCAGAAACAGTGATGCAGTCACAGAAGTATGTTGACGTTTGTTATGTTAAAATTTTAGATCGATAAGCCAATAAGATTACGGTAACCGAGTCTTCATTTCGTTCTAGTCGTATATGTATTCCTTCTGATTCATTGGATAAAATATTCTTGGACTAGGCGCTCAAGCATAGTTCAACATCTCATCCAACAAACTCGCTGTCTCATCCTGAAGATGGAAAGTCCAACCTTGCAATCTGAGCTTTCAGGGAGCTCAGACCAACATTCTGTAATTTAACGATCCAGACAACGCGTACATACTATCATTCCTCAAATAATAGATCTGATCACTGTACCTGACGCGAACCGTCAGACGTATATTGGCGAAGATTAAAAACAGACATAGGCTTGAACCGGTTTCCTTCACAACGATCTAGCGCATATACAGACTCAGGCATGGATCTGAATCTCAGCTCTCTGGCTGGTCTTCTGATTTATGAATAATTCATAAGTGAACAGTCTGTCCATAGAACGAGCCTCCCATGTCATGGCTGGGCTAGATGGTCCTTACATGGGACGGTGCAGGATCTACTGCTGATAGGTGGAGACCTGATCGATCGTAGTAATCCAGGCCTTCCGGAAGGGAAAAAACAGTAATCTCGATATATGCCACATGATGTGAACACTCGTCGTCTTCTACGGCAGATACTCCTGTGCACATATTTAGTCCCTTTCTTACATAATCGAGCACTATATGGGTTAGTTATAATATATATGCAAGCGGTGGTGGCGGTTTTCAGAGGTCCGGGGTTCTTCGACCAACAGAATTCTAGACCAAGATCAGAATCGCGACGTGGAACCAGATCTGGCCCGCTATCCTGGGCTGGGTCGAGGATAGCAACTGGAAGCTTTCGATCACCTTCATCGCGTGGTTGTGGAAGCGTAGCTTTTCGCTCGTGAAATTTCTTCCTGAGAATAGTCAACTTTAGCATAAGCTCCTCCCTCCTGATCGCGGATGTTCACTGCCACCAGCTCAATGTCTCCTTGTGAAGCCTCAGTAGCCTGGTTACTGAACACGATCTGTATTCTCACGACTATCCGAACGAGTAAAGCGGCATATAAGAGTAGATGCAATCAGCGTCAGGTTCAACGCATCTCACAGAATGAAAAAAAGCCCCTTCCTTTAAGAAAAGTTCAATGCTTCACGGTTGGAGATGAACGGCGAGGACATCGCTAGAAGGTCTACATACCCAGTCGTGTACGAACATGCAAGCAAAGGCCAAAGTTTACGCCAGCGTAGGAACATGCCCATGGGTCAAAAGAGTGTTGAAGAAGACAGCTACAGCATTCGATCCGCTCCTAACAGACGAGCACGAGCTCGTTTAGAAAGGAATCCGTGTTTCCTTGGCTGATGGCGCCCAATGTTCCAGAGAACCTTAGACTAAGGTCCGCATGTCCGCCATTCTGCCCAGCATCACGAGTCCCCTTTCTAGCGTCTCCCGCCTCCAAAAGCCACTCAAATTGTTACATTCTCGTAGATTTGACGCTGCTTATTCTTCCTTTCAAGTAGTTTCTTATTTTCGCAAACAGTCCTGTAAGAGTCTCCATGCTGCTCTCCATGAGTCAATTCTGAGGCGTCAGCTTGTACTTCACTCATGTTTGCACAATATATCTCTTGTTCTGCAGAAGTTCCTGGGCTACATCACGAATAGATAAGATATAACTCTCAGCGTATTAAGCTTAAGGAAGTACGAACAAAATTACGATTCAGTCAGATAAAGTTGCATGAGATCAAAATCCTAAGTCTCATGAAAAATTGGCTTGCCACGATGAGTTGCTAAGCCAGAAGGAAGCTTAAACTGTTCTGGTGCGTCCAAGCATTTCCCTCTTGGTAAGAGTTTGGTCATATCTTCATGAGTTGTTTAGTACAGAATTGGCACACATTAGGCGATATTCGGTTCTGTCCGAAATGTACAACAACCAGTGAATTTATACTCGAAGAAGGTTAGTCTTTCCTGTAAGACATGTATGCTGGGATTGCTTATTTGAAGGGGATGATGGTGAAATGCCAGACATGTAGCAAGACTATGGAAATATTTAGCAAAGATATTAAAGTTTTCGTACGAAAAAAGAAGAACAAATTGCATAATCGACCCGAATCAAGTAAAAAGAGGTCAGAGAGAGGTTGCAGGAAGCTGCTCACATGGGATGATCGCCGGCAAGCATTCAAGCACGCTGTCCCTGGACTGCGCAGAGCGGGAAGTGTTCGCTGCTCGGTCGCCCGCCTCACGCTGTGCCTTCCACATCATCTCCCCAGACTCCTCTCGCTTACGCGGAGGAGCCCCGACCAGAGACTCCACGCTTCAAGTGGACGTGCCTTCAACATGATCCCGACGGTCCTCTGCAGGAGCCCCAGCTTCCATCTCTCCTACTCCCGCTCGGGTTACAGGCAGCCGCTACGCTACCCAGATGGGAGGTGTCCACTCAGAAGCATGTTTTATCGTCTCTGTATGAAACCTGGCGTGCCTTATGGTTTCTCGTTCGGAATTGTTGGCATGTGTGGCCATGTTCAGAGAGCTGTTCATCAGTTGTACTTCATTTTCGCTGATAATATTTATATCTATCCATATATTAGATAGAGATACAGATATAGCACAAACATCCTCAAACTTACCGATACTCTTTGTCTGTATGTAAGAAAGAAGAAGAAGAAATTGAGCTATAATGATCTCGTATCACTCTATAGATCCTCTCTGTTCGTATTCTTCTTATATCCAGCAACGTTGGTTTCAATTTGTGCAGGGGTGCTTTGAAGGAGCCCTTCCAAACACTCATCACCCATGATCACATCCACTGGTCAATAATGATCAAGAAGTTCGCCCGGTGCTGTCGACCGTCTCCGACACTCTTGTCATCTACGTGAAAGAATCCGAACTAGTCACATATGTCTTGGAAAAACATCTCTGCTCAGACAGTAATTCGATGCGATCGATGGTCAAGTCTACAACATGATCGTTGTTACTGCAATTTTCAAAGTGGAATCTAACCTGATGAACTTCACTCAGACTTTGCTGGTTCCCGTTAGTTAATCATACTCGACCCTAGCAAAAAGAGGTCAGAGAGGGGTGGCTGGAAGCTGCTCGCATCGGATGATCGCTAGCAAGCATTCAAGCACGCTGTCCCTTGACTGCGCAGAGCGGGAAGTGTTCGCTGCTCGGTCGCCCGCCTCACGCTGTGCCTTCCGCATCATCTCCCCAGACTCCTCTCGCTTCCGCGGAGGAGCCCGGACCAGGACTCCACGCTTCAAGAGGACGTGCCTTCAACATGATCCCGGCGGTCCTCAGCAAGAGCCCCAGCTTCCGTCTCTCCTACTCCCGCTCGGGTTACAGGCAGCCGCTACGCTGCCCAGATGTGAGGTGTCCACGCAGAAGCTTTTGTTATTGTCTCTGTATGAAGCCTGGCATGCCTTATAGTTTCTGGATCGGTGTTGTACGTCAGTGTGGCCATGTTCAGAGACCTGTTCATAAGTTGTGTATGCTCTTATTAGCAGATGGTGTTTACATCGACCGATAATATTTCTAACTTTCCATGGATCACAAACAGCACAAACTTACAGCCTACCAAGGCTTGTGAGACTAAAAATATGACTTGTCTGAAATGACTTGCTGCACAAAATCTTCGATATGGATCATAATGCAAAGGCTTTGGACGCAAAAAGAAGAAGAAATTACACTGTATTGAACTCCTATCGTTCTATAGGTCATCTCTATTCTCTTCGTAGTCGCAATAAACCAGCAAACGTTAATATGAATGGTCGGAAGGTTCGCTTACCATGTAACACTCACTCACAATTTCGAGGTTTTAAGCAACTCATAATCTCTTTGAATAAAAAAAGGCAGAGAGAGGTCGCTGGTGGCTGCTCACTTCGGATGATCGCTGGCAAGCATTCAAGCACGCTGTCCCTGGACTGCGCAGAGCGGGAAGTGGTCGCTGCTCGGTCGCCCGCCTCACGCTGTGCCTTCCACATCATCTCCCCAGACTCCTCTCGCTTCCGCGGAGGAGCCCGGACCAGAGACTCCACGCTTCAAGAGGACGTG